TATATATAGATATCCTTTTTATTCATATAGTCCTTTTTATGTCTGTAAGATCAATAGTAATGTCCCCTCTTTCATTCCTTATTTTAATAATTTGGTCTTCTGTATTTTTTTCTTGGTCAATCTAGCTAAAGGTTTGTCAGTTGTGTTGATATTTTCAAAAAACCAACCTTTAAGTATGTCGATTTTATCTACTGTTTTTCTATTCTCTATTTCACTTATTTCTTCTCTAATATTTATTACTTCCTTTCTTTGGGTTCAGGTTGCTGAGAGCTTTTTTCCCTAGTTTCTTCCAGTGGAAGTTTAGCTGCTTGACTTGAGATTTTTTTAATATTTATGTGCTGAGTGCAGTGGCTCATGCCTGTAATCCTAGCACTTTGGGAGGCTGCAGTGGGAGGATTACTTGAGCCCGGGAGTTCAAGGCCAGGTGGGGCAACATCTCTAGATGTTTTTGTAGAGACCTCATCTCTACAAAAAAATTTAAAAATTAGCTGTGCATGGTGGCACATGCCTGTAGTCACAGCTACTCAGGTGGCTAAGGCAGGAGGATCTCTTGAGGCCGTGAGGCCGGGGCTGCAGTGTGCCATGATTTTGCCACCGCACTCCAGCCTGGGAAAGAGAGTGAAACCCTGTCTTGGAAAATGAAAAATAAAAAAACAAAATGTTTGTGGCCAGATGCAATGGTGCGTACCTATAATCCCAGTACTTTGGGAGACCAAGGAAGGAGGACTGCTTGAGGCCAGGAGTTGAAGACCAGCCTGGGGAAGATAGTGAGACCCTATCTCTAGAAATTTTTTTTACAGTTAGTCGAGTATGTTGGTGCACACTTGTGGTCTCAGCCTCATCTTAATTATATAAGGTTGTAGTTCAGATTAATACCAACTTTGTTTCAATAGTATATAAAAACTTTGCTTCTCTAAAGTTCCATTCACACCCCCTCCTTTATCCTGTTATTGTAACACATTACATCTTTATACACTTTATGTTCATCAACTAGATTTATAATTATTGCGTTTATAACTATTGCATGCAACTAGATTTTTAATTATTGCAATTATTTATAATTATGCAAGTATCTTTTTTTCTTATTATTTTTCCTTTCTTTTGGGACACAGTCTCGCTCTGTTGCCCAGGCTGGAAGTGCAGTGGCACAAACTTGACCCGCTGCAACGTCTGCCTCCCAGGTTCAAGCAATTCTAGTGCCTCAGTCTCCTGAGTAGCTGGGACTGCAGGCACGCAACACTACACCCAGCTAATTTTTGTATTTTTAGTAGAGACAGGGTTTCACCATGTTTGCCAGGCTGGTCTCAAACTCTTGACCTCAAGTGAGCCTCCAGCCTCAGCCTCCCAAAGTGCTGGGATTACAGGCCTAAACCACTGCGCCTGGCCAGTGCTTTTTATTTATTGGTGCAGATTCACATTAGTATTTATTTATTTATTTATTTATTTATTTATTTATTTGAGATGGAGCCTCACTGTGTCGCCCAAGCTGGAGTGCAGTGGCGTGATCTCAGCTTACTGCAACCTCTGCCTTCCGGGTTCAAGTGATTCTCTTGCCTTAGCTTCCCGAGTAGCTGGCGCCTGCCACCACACTCAGCTAATTTTTGTATTTTTAGTAGAGATGGGGTTTCGCCGTGTTAGCCAGGATGGTCTCGATCTCCTGACCTCATGATCTGCCTGCCTCAGCCTCCCAAAGTGCTGGGATTACAGGTGTGAGCCACCGTGCCCAGACTTTGGTTAAATTTCTAGAGTTCTGAAAAAATTTATTCTGGTCAATTTTTTGTTTGTGTGTGTGTGCCATTTTTTTGGTTGCTGTTGCTTTTATGATGGGATGAATTTCTGAATGTCTTTATTCCACCATTTTCACTGATGTCATTTACAACATGGTTTTAAATCTCTAAAGGCTCACCAGGCACATGCCTGTATTCCCAGATCTCAGGAGGCAAAGGAAGAAGGATCCTTTGAGTCCAGGAATTCTGGGCTGTAGCATGCTATGCTGATTGGGTGTCCTCACTAAGTTCAGCATCAGTATGGTGACCTCCTGGGAACAGACCACCGGGTTGCCTAAAAAGGGGTGTACCAGCCCCATTCAGGAATGGAGCAGGTCAGAACTCCCATGCTGATCACTAGTGGGATCGTGCCTGTGAATAGCCACTGCTCTCCAGCCTGGCCAACACAGTGAGTGAGAATGTGTCCCTTAAAAAAAAAAGTCTAATTGCCCATAGACTAATTAACTATTTAATCATGGGAAATGATTAGGGGAAAGACATAAAATCTTTTTTGCTCTATCACCCAGGCTGGAGTGCAGTGGCTTGATCTCAGCTCATTGCAACCTCCGCCTCCTGGGTTCAAGCAATTCTCCTGCCTCAGCCTCCTGAACAGTTGGAACTACAGGCAAGCGTGGCTGTGAACTGCTAATGAGAAACTGTAATTCTCACAGAGGCCCTCCCAGAGGAGAAGAAGGTTGAAAGGCATTTCTGTATTTAGTCTTCTCAAAATTAAGGCTGGGCCCAGTGGCTCTCACCAGCACTTTGGGAGGTCAAAGCAGGCGGATCACTTGAGATCAGGAGTTCAAGACCAGCCTGGCCAACATGATGAAACTCCCATCTCTACTAAAAACACAAAAATTAGCCAGGTGTGGTGGTCCGTGCCTACCGTCCCAGCTATTTGGGAGACTGAGGAAGGAGGATTACTTGAGCTTGGGAAGTGGAGGTTGCAGTGAGCCAAGATCACGCCACTGCACTCCAGCCTGGTCAATGGAGCGAGACCCTGTTTTGGTGGGGAGGGGAGAGGAGAAAGGAAAGAAATAAAATAGAGAGAAAGAAGGAAGGGGGAGGGAAGGAAGGAAGGAAAAAGAGAAAGAAAGAGAAAGAATGAAGAACGAAAATAAAAATTTTTTAAAAAGTAAGGTTAAAGTAAACCCTTTTTCTTCATACAGATTGAACACATGAGTTCAAATCACAGCTTTGCTGCTTAATAGCTTGGTGACCTAGGACAACTTATATAACCTCTCTGTGCCTCAGTTTCCTCATTTAAAAATAGGGCAATAATATCTACCACATAAGGTTATCGTGAGGATTAAATGTGAAATGCTAATCACAAATACCTGGCAACCCAGTAGATACTCACCGTAATAATTATTATTTGAATAATTTCTGCAGAAGTACAATGATGATTCTTTGGTTAACCTAAAGGCAGATTTTCTATTTCTTCCTGTTTTTCTTTTTCTTGTTCACTTTAAAGAATTAAAAAGAAAATCGATTCCAGCATTTTGGAATAAAAATTTGCATCAAAATCAATGTATTCATTTTATTGACATATAAACAGAATGTCATTTGTTTATTCAATAAACATTTGTTAAATGCCTAATACATTTCAGACATCATGCCAGGCATAGGGATGACAGGGCATGGTGGTGGGCACCTGTAATCCCAGCTACTCAGGAGGCTGAGGCAGGAGAATTGCTTGAACCCGGGAGGTAGAGATTGCAGTAAGCCGAGATTGCGCCACTGCACTCCAGCCTGGGTGACAGAGTGAGACTTCATCTCAAAAAAAAAAAAAAAAAAAATTGTGGTCTGTGCCCTCAAGGAGCTCATAGTCCAGGAGACTGACAAGTGGCAGGTGATTATATGCAATGTAAGAAAGACTGTGATGTCATACAAGAAGAAAGTGGGAGTATGGTTTTGACCAGTTCCTCCTGTTGGATTTATTCCTTTTTCTTTGGCTATAAAGCAAAAGAATTGGTCCTATTTTTTTTAACTGTGCAAATTAAACCATAAATTTTAAAAACTTTATAAAGATAAAAGACAAGCAGCCAGCTGCAGTGGCTCACGCCTGTAATCCTAACAGTTTGGGAGGCTGAGGCAGGTAGATCACCTGAGGTCAGGAGTTCAAAACCAGCCTGGCCAACATGGTGAAACCCCATCTCTATTAAAAATACAAAAATTAGCTGGGCATGGTGGCGGGCGCCTGTAATCCCAGCTACTTGGAAGGCTGAGGCAGGACAGGAGAATCGCTTGAACCTGGGAGGTGGAGGTTGCAGTGAGCCGAGATTGAGTCATTGCACTCCAGCCTGGGCAACAAGAGCGAGACTCCATCTCAAACAAAAAAAATAAATAAATAAATAAAATAAATAAATAAATAAATAAAGAACAACTTGAATTGTGATGAGCAACTTAAATTATGGAGGATGCTAGAAATAGTGTTTGCTACACAGTCAGGACTTCCTACCAACATAGTCACTTGTAGGGTTTTTGACCTGAAAAGTTCTGTGGCATATTTTTTCTTTGCTATCCACTTTTTTTTACCTTGTAGTTCTTCCCCTTGTTCTCTCCTCTACTTTATCTTCTAGAGACCTGGGTATTTCCCAGAGGAATAGCGCTTTATGGAGTCTAATGGTGATTGATTAGATAAAAACAGAAAACACCTTTTTCTTTTTTACCTACAAGTTCCATAGCAAAAAATGAATATAAACTTTTCATGCAGTTTCACACATTGAAAATGCAGGTTATTTGAATTCCATTCCATTTTTCAGAATTCTCTATTGCAATCCTCTCACCACTGTTGAAGATCCGTATCTCTTTAAATTGCCAGCATTAAAATATCTGTAAGTACTATAGTACTCTCATAAGTCATGAGATGATTTATGCTTTTTAAATTTTTATCAAAGCTTAAGTATTTTGCATTTAGGCTAAAATGTCATAATTTAAATTTTAACTGGGTTATTGAAAAAAAGTTATTGGCAAAGAAAAAAATTAAAGAGAATGTATAATTGTCAAGACAGCAAGGGAAGAGAACAGTGTTGAAGAACCCATATAGATTTGGAACATGTAGACACATGGAGAAATATTATTTAACCAAGAAAACAAAGGGGAAAAGGTGTTCATTATTTTAAAAATGAAGAAAAGAGTAAATACGATGGTGAATGCAATATGAAAATGAGAAGATAATCATAAAAATGGTGTAAGCTCTGCTCTTGAATATCATTAATTTGATGATGCAAATCAACTTAAATTTCTTTAATAAGAGCTCCCTGGAATTCTACAGCAAATAAACTCTTGAGCTGGCGTGTTTTATAGAGAAGCCAAAATTGAAGTAATCACATGTCCTTGAAATATCTTTTTAAGTACAGAATTTTTTACTGGGGTTCATATCATGAGTGTTTCGACTTTCTTCTTCAGAGACATGGGAAAAACGCAAGTTCCACTTACAACACTTAAGAACATTCTCACGATGACTGTTGAACTGGAAAAACTGTAAGTTATTTTTTTCTTAGATTTATTTTCACTTAGTTGGTTCTTTAGGTTTGTTTTATTATTTTCTTAAGTCAGGTTTATTGAGGTGTAATTTTCATATACTAATATTCACCCTTTTCAAGTGTACAGTTTGATGAGTCTGACAAATGTATAGTTACATAACCACCACCACATTCCCAATATAAAGCATTTCTGATGCCTCAAAAAGGCCCCTCATGTCCCTTTGTAGTCAATCCCCTCCTGCCACCATCAGCCCCTGTTAGCTACTAATCTGATTTCTGTTCCTATACTTTTTACTTTTGCCTTTTCCAGAATGTCTTATAAATGAACTCATATAGCATGTGTTTGGCTTCTTTCACATAGCTTTTTTTTTTTTTTTTTTTTTTGAGACATAGAGTCTCACTCTGTCACCCAGACTGCAGTGCAGCGGCATGACCTAGACTCACTGCAACCTCCGCCTCCCAGGTTCAAGCGATTCCTGCCTCAGCCTCCCGAGTAGCTGGGATTACAGGCGCATGCCACCACTCCTGGCTAATTTTTGTATTTTTAGTAGAGACTAGATTTCACAACGTTGGCCGGGCTGGTTTTGAACTCCTGACCTCAAGTGATCCGCCCGCCTCGGCCTCCCAAAGTGCTAGGATTACAGATGTGATCCACCTTGCCTGGCCTCGCTCAGCATAAGATTTTTTGAGATATGCTACCATCCATGTTGTTGCACCTATCACTACAGCTGGCCCTCCATATCTGCAGGTTCCTCATCTATGGATTCAATTAACCATGGATGGAGAATATCTGGAAAAAATAAAATATATAAAACAGCAATAAAAACAGTAGAAAATTTAAAATACAGTATAATTATTTACATACCATTTACCCTGTATTAGGTATTTAAAGTATACCTGAGGCTATACACAAACATTATGTCATTTCATATAAAAGACTTCAGCTGTGGACTTTGGTATCTGCAGGGGGTCCTGGAGCCAATCCCCTGCAGACAACGAGGGACAGCTGTTCACTCCTTTTTATTGCTGAGTAGTGTTCCAGTTGTGTGGAAACCCCATCTCTACTAAAAATATGCAAATTAGCCAGGTGTGGTGGCCCACGCCCGTAATCCCAGCTACTCTGGAGGCTGAGGCATGAGAAGTGCTTGAACCTGGGAGGTGGAAGTTGCAGTGAGCCGAGATTGCACCAC